TCCTCTCCATCCCTGTTCTATACCAACCCACCTTAACTCGGATAATTGTTGAAAACGTATTTTAGGTATTAAAATTTACTCCGTAAATAATGTATTATTAGTAATAGAGTGGAGTACAGTTTCGGGAGTAATTGCCCGAGCCTGAGTAATCTCAAATGTTACAGATACGACTAAAACTATTAAATGATAAAATAACAATAACAAAAAGGCATACAAAGAGAGAGACGATTACAACCTAAAAGCAATGAGTCCCATTAAGGTGAAATATAATAATAATAATGATGAAAAAACCTTAGTAAAAATGTTGATGTAAATGTGTTTTTAAAACGTATGCACGAAGAATCTTGTTGATTCTCACCCTGAAAATTTACCCGTTAATCGGCGCTGTTTTCATTCTCTTGTTGCGTTTTGTGCTGTGCAAGTGCTGCTAGTCGCCTATCTCTCAAATTCCTTCTTTCATTCAGCTGACCTAGAGGCATGGTTTCAGCTAACGCCTTCTCAAGTTTGTCCAGTGTTTCACCGCCGAGTGTCCGAGGACCTCCCTGTTCCTTACAGACAGTTTCAATGTTGGCTCCGTACCTCTCACAGTAATCTCTGATTCCTAAATGGCAAACACTACACTTCAGTTGTACTCACATTTGACACTGCTAACAACAGGAGCATGTGTTTCAAGGTACGAATGCTGCTGTAAAAAGCTCATGCAGAATTTGATGAACCAGATCAGAAATTTGTCACTCTTTACATTACAATTTACATGGCCAGGCAAATGTTTCCCTTATCATGTGCATACGACCAACTAAGCAAGTAAAAAATCACGTTTCTGAACTGGAAAATCAACGACAGGATAGCTAGTTCATTTTGAGACCTTTCAAGTATCACGAACTTCAGGGCTGGAGACACGGCGGAACTTCTTTGTCAGTGTAACCTTTATGAGTTCCCTGTCTATCCGGACCTTGCAATATCCCTAGTTGATGGGTCTCTTTATTCTTGATACCTATCTCCCTGACAATGCAACGATATTGTTATGAGAAACTACATGTTGGGCGCTCTTAGAGGTGATAAAAGGTTTTACCATACCCATATTCGCAATTAGCCAACCAGAAGCCATGCCTCTGTCCTGATATCCTTCGATATCAAGTCACTGACCCGATATGGCTACGATATCATGCTCGCTTGGCCGAATTTGGGTTGAGTAAATACCTCATCGTTCCTATTTGGTACCCTTCGGCGGAATATCAGGTTCGTTTGGTCTCGCCATGGGTATTTGGGCTCAACTGTGTCTCGCCAAAATACGAGCCATGGCTCGACCAAACTCCTACGATTAGGTATAAAAATTACAGATCCATGAAACACATAATTATATATCCACCATCTTACAAGGAAGAGTGTGAAATCGTTTTCAGGCTGTACGTCAAGACATATTTAAGTTAAGAGAGTTTACGAGTTAGGGAATAGAAAAAGAGCCTGCAAAACTGCAATCTGGGTGTTATAAAGGCCTTTCCATTTACAAATACGCAGAACAGATGCAGCTAATGAGTGATTAAGGGTTTGCTCAATCCAAGAAGTACCATTCCGTATGGATAGTATTTGGAAGGGTGACCATATTTCTGTCAAAAATTATATACAAGGGACAGGGCTTTCCCGTATTTAACTTTGTTAGGTATCCCCACCCCACCCCTGTACAACATACCATTGGCATTTAGCTGCATGGTTTCAAATGGACCTATAAGTGAATACCGTAATCCAAGACCATCTGTCATAGCAGTGTCAACATCTTCAGGAGAGCAAATACCATCCTACAGAAAATACATACAATTAAGTTGCTCTGTTTTTCTCTTTTTATTTTTCTAAAAAAACTTGAAATAGACAAACAAGAAAAGCTACAGGATGTATGGTCGACCGTAAGGGTTAATCTGAAATTTAATTTTAATCTGAAAGTGTTTCTGGAGTGATGTAATTTCTAGATCAATCCAAGGCTGGTATTGAGTTTGAGTGTAGAGCCAGGTTGTCCAGCATTCTTGAAGAACCACCGAAAGGATTTTTAGTAACAGAATAAACCTAACATTTCCTTACATGTGAAAATATAGGTGACCCTCTGCAAATACCTAATTCGTCTTTTACCTTAAATTTTCTGAACTGATTAGTAGGTATTGGCCACAGTTCAGTTAAACCTTTTCCATCCATAGAAATCTTACACTTGAACTTTCTGTTTCTTGTCTGCTGGTCAACTAAATCAAGGACTCAGTGTAAAAGAATGCCCCTTCTCTCTCTCCCCTCACTATGTCCTACCTCTACTAGTCTCCATGCCTCCATAATAACAGCATACTGCAAACGGTTTAAAATGAATCCGTTCACTTCTTTCTTAATGACAACAGGTGATTGTCCAATGCCTTTCATTAAAGCTACTGTCTGGTCTACAACTTTACTGTCTGTCCAGGGAGCAGGCACAACCTCTACCAGAGGTACATAATATGGAGGGTTTATCTGAAAAAAGGAGATATTATTACATGCTGGCTTTACAATAAAAGTATTATCCTGTTTATACAGCACCCTTAGCTGTGATAACCAATTTTGTTTAACTCGGACAAAAGCTGACAGTCAGCCATCTTCTTACTTAGTTGCCTGTGGTTGAAACTTGTGATCCATCAGTCTTTGCTTTCTGTACACAGAGAACATACTGAGTGCCCCGGGGAAGGGAGGGAGGGGGAGGAACTTCCATAGGAAACGGTAGAAATGCTGATTGTCTCATTTAGGGGTATGAATCAAGGATTCTGGTCTCATTTAGGGTGTTATGAATGACAAAATGGCACTATTTTTTAGGGTGCACTCAAAGAATTGATCATACTAAAAGAAAACCATTTGCTTTTTTCAAAGGGTTTTAATTTCTATTTTTTAGTCAGGAGGATTCTGTTGATACTGAAGGGTCACCCTAGAACAATTTCCTACTATTGTAATTATAATTATTGTTATAATTATAGTACCATTATAGGCATGCAATGTGTGCACAGGGATAAGTGGCTGTGGTTCTTTGTGTGTTGCAGACATAAGGCAATTATTAGTCAGACCACTTGTAGAATGTTGTAAAAATGACATATTTATAAAGAGTTAGTACTCACTGGATGGGCCACAATACACTGACTGCGATGCTTCAAAGTTGATGTGAACTTTGATGGCACAATGCAAGATGTTGAACTAGCTAGTATTGTTTCCTTTGAAGTGATAAACTTGTCCAGATTCTCAAACACCTTTATCTTCAATTCCAAGTTTTCTGGAGTGCACTCCTGATGTTAATTAAAATAGACATACAACATTTAGTTGTAACATTTTCAGTTAACATTTCTTACACTACATCATGCATGCTTG